ACCGCTGGCCCATGCCCATGCCAAGCCGCAGGCTGGCCCAGAGAAGGAGATGCAGGACTCCCAAAACCGCGCCGCCAGCGGTCCTCAAAGTTGGAGCTATATCGGGAGCAGTAGGATAATATTTGGACGAGGCGATTGACAACTCGTCCGACGTTCGCTACTGGCGTGGCAAGCTCTTGGCAGAATGGCGCACTCAAGCTCATGGCTCCTGACACAGCGCCAGGCATTGATGTGCTAGGCCCTCGTGGTGCGCAGCGCCTTCCTGATATTGGGCGCCGTCAGCTGGTGGGTATTCTCAACAAGGCCGAGCGGGGAGGTTTGGCCGACCACCGTGTCCACGGCTCTGGGGGGCGCCATCCCCAAGGAAGTGGTGGTCTGCGAAGCAAGGTGCATTCTGGGATACTGCGATTGCTGGGAGTTCGGCACTACGTGCTGCGTTGGCGCGTGCCGTCATGGATGAGTGCGCCAACGAGCTCTGCGCCCGTGGGCCTGCAGAAGTTCTACGACTCGATCAGTCTCGTCCTCCTCATGCAGGCGAGCCGCGCCCTGGGCTACCCTGCGATCGTCACATTGATAGAGGTCACCATGTACGCCTCCCCCAAAATGCTCAAGACAGGTCGCAATGTCAGCCTGGCCTTCCAGGCGGGCAAGTCGGCCGTTGCTGGGTCGCCTCGAGGTGTGGACGTGGCTAAAGTTCCCCTGCATGGGATTCTGCAGAACCCACCACGGAGTTTGGGACATGTATTGATGACGCGGTCTGCCGCAACGGAGGCGTCGAGATGAGGGTCGGCGGAGATATGCAAATGGCCGCCGAATCTCTGGCCACCTCCTTCCAGCAGGCTCGGCTCACCATTTCGGACAAGACAAGACTGGTAGCGAGCTCGCCCGGCACCGGGAAGGAGCTGATCTCCTCGCCCACTGCAGTTGGCATTCCAGTAAAACTTACTGGCTCAGCGGTGGACCTTGGCGTGGGTGCTGCAGGTGCAAAGAGGCGAAGCCAGAAGGAGTTCCGCATGCGGCTCAAGAGGGCCAAGCTGCGCTACAACCAGCTCCACAAGCTGCGCCGACTGCGTGGGAGCCACAAGGTCGCGCAAGGCCTGTGGCGGACGGGATCCTACCCTGCGGCCACCTACGGACACCAAGTGATGGAGGTCCCTCCGACCACGGCGCTGAGCTTGCGCCGCCAGGTGGCGGTTGCCATTTTCGGGCACAAGCGTGGACGCTGCCTACAGACGGTGCTGCCAGCGACCCTCGGCATCGACGACCTTGGGGTGCAACTGCGGCGGGCTCTGGGATACTGAGTGGATCAGGCTATGGCATGCGCAACCTGCTCTTCATCCCCGTATCAAGCGTGTCTGGTCTATTGTCCGCGCCAAGCTGGGCGACGAGATCTCCTGGCGCGGCATTCGAGGCCCCGTGCGGCCCTTCAGGCCACTCTTATCCAAGCGGGTTGGGAACCGCTCTCGGTTGTTGCTTGGAGGCGCCACGGCCCTACTGGCGCGGAGGATTGTTTTTTTCCTACCGTGGGCGGCGACACCTTGAAGGGCACTGTCTTGGGCCACTTTGATGTGTTGCCCGCCGCTTTCTCTGCTGACGTTGCCCGGATTGGATGGCGCAAGGCGGCTGCCTATCTGCTGCTGGCACAGGCTGAATTGAATTCCTTCGCGAAGAAGGGCTCCATGGACTTGTGGGGAGCGACGCTGACGGCGGCCTCGGGTGGACAGTGGCCGCAGGGCCGCAAGTTGGAGGCGGGCTACGTCATGAGCCCGCTTTGCCCTCGCTGCCAACAGTGCCGCGAAACGCTGCTTCACCGTGTCTGGGGGCGCCCCAAAAACAGTGGCCAAGATGGACCCAGTTCCACTGATTCTTTAATCACTGCAGCCCTTGCGGGCGCCGGCTCCGACCCTGCCCTTTGGCTTCGAGGGGCCCCTGCGTCCTCGCTCACTGCGCCGCGGTTTGTGGAGCCTCCTGGGTTCTCCGACCCCACCCCCTGGGGCGGCGTGCCCTCGATGGGCCTCTCGTCGCCACTGGGAGGGCACCCTCTTCATGTTTTTTGGGGGGCGGGTCGGGGGGGGGAATGCACGTCTGACCGTCGTGGGCGCCGCTGTGGATCGGCCGTGGCGTGTCTGGGGCGCGTGCGTGACGACGCGGTTCCCCCCCCAGCCGAAGCGCGGCCCCCGCGGAGCGAACTCGCTGCCCCCCTGTCTGGATCAGTCCAGACTGTCCCCAGGGCTGAACTGCTTGCCTTCGCCCTGGCTTTCGAACGCACCCAGGGCCCCCTAGCGTGCGCGTGCGATTGCAAGCCTGTTGTGGACGGCTGGAATGCGGGCCGTCCTTGGCGGCCCGCGGGCCGCAATTCCGATGCGTGGGTCGGAACCCGCCTGGCGGCTGATCGCCGCGGGCCTGGCTTGGTGGAGGCGTTCTGGACCCGATCCCATCTCGAAGAGGAACCAGAGCGCATCTCGTCCCCGTTTCAATGCTCCCTGCCTCAGGGCAACGCTGCTGCTGACGTCTGGGCGGGGTGGGTGTCGAAGCGGGGGTGGGATATGGATGTTGCCCTGCCAGTGCCGCGGACGGGCAGGTTTGATGTTATAGCTTCCTTGGTCCGTCGGCGCGCGAGGCGAGTGATGATTGATACCTTAGTCTGCACCTTGGAATGCGGATCGTCCTGCCGAGGCCCGAGCCAAGCATTTGTCCAAGCTATCGGCCGTCCTAGCCAGCACCTCCCATCGCTTACAGAAGCTGAGCCAGGGTAAGTCCTTTTGTGGTGGCTGCCGTGAGCTTGTGAATTCAGCCGGCCTGGCGATGTTTGCGGGTTCGCCGTTCGGTGCCGTGTCTTCGGTTTCTTTGTCGCCACGGCGGACGCGGCTCCTCTCACTGGTTCGGTGCCCACCCTTGGTGGTGCGCCTGGTGTGGCCCCGATTGTCGGGGCGCCGTGCAGTGCCGTGTCGGCTGCCCACAGTGGCGTGCCTTCGGTGCGGTCTCCTGGCCTGGCCCCTTCTGCTGGGCGGTTCACGGGTGTTGGATTCTCGCGTTTGGCGAGCGTGATCAAGGAGGTTGGAGGCCCACGGTTGCATGGCAGCCATTCCTTGCACGAGTGGCAACAGTATGGCATGAGGTTCTGTTGTGTGTGCGGTTGCACTGCCACTGTCGACCCACGCCGACTGGTTGTTCCCTGCCAGAAGCATTCTGCTTAGGGCAGGGAGAACCTCTTTCGGATTTCTAGGGGCCTCTGCCCATCCTACAGAGGGCCTCCTGCTGCTATCTCGAGTGTTCAGGTGGTGGTCCTCGCTTCCGACGTCAGTCCTCAGAGGGCTGGTGCGCATGGCCCCGTCGAATTGGATGAATACCTTAGGTATTCCTCCTTGCCCGAAGTTTGTTTCGAGGAGCCCCCCAAGGAGGGGACCCCCCCAGGGAAGGGGTGGGGACCGAGGGCTCTTCATCTGATTTGCCACCGTGAATGTGGCCCTCATCTGCATTCCTGCATACCTCCTCCTCCTCCTCCTCCTCCTCCTCCTCCTCCTCCTCTTCCTCCTCCGCCTCCTCCTCCTCCTCCCCCTCCCCCTCCCCCTCCTCCTCCCCCTCCTCCCCTCCTCCCCAACCCCCCCTTCCCCCTCCTCCTCCTCCTCCTCCTCCTCCTCCTCCTCCTCCTGTTCCCTCTCCTCCTCCTCCTCCTGTTCCTCTCCTCCTCGTCCTCCTCCTCCTCCTCCTCATCCTCCTCCTCCTTCTCGTCCTCCTCCTCCCGTCCGGCGTCCTTGAGCCCATGCCCCTCCCTTCGTGGTATTGTCTGCTCCAGGCTGGCGCCTTTCCGTCCCCCATGCGATCTGGATCGAGTCTTGGCGCGGTCCGGGCTGCACTTAGCGGGCGAAGAACGGTATCCAACACACACTTTTCGCCGTCGGGGGCGCCTGCACCTGGGCGGCTGGAAAGTTTCTACCATTACGGTGGCACGTCAAGGTACAAATTGTCCAGCCGCCCCTGGGCAGCGCCCCTGGGCGACGGGAAGGCTAATTTCATACCGCTCTTCGCCCGCTAATTCGCCCATGTGTGCTGCAGTCGGCAGGTCGTCGGAAGGGGGGGAGCTAGGCGGAGCGGGGCTGGGTAGTGAACCTCGCGCGGGCGAGAAGCAGCAGCAGCGTGGCAGTCGCAGGGCAGCGCTCGGCGGAGCGCGCCCCCCCCCCGCCGAAGTTCTGCGAGTGCATCCCGCCACCGCGCCTCGGGTCGTGGGTCAGAGGCGCGCTCGAGGCCTCTCAGGGCAAGTCGGGCATGTCCCTCTACAGCAGGAGTATTCAAACATAGTCAAGAATAGTCGGGGGACGATTCTCCGACTATGTTTGATTATTTGGGGGGTATGTTCGAATTTGTTTCTTTTTCGTGCAAAATCCGCCTGTGCGCATCGCGCGTGAGCCTCCTGGGAGCCTCGCGGGGCCTCTCCGGGGCCTCTGGGCTCCTCTTGGAGGCTGCTCGAGGGTTCCTTGGCTTCCTTTGGAGGCTGCCAGCGGGGGGGGGGGGGGGCAATCTGGCAGAACCCGCCGGCCTCGCCCCGTCCATGTTGGGCCAGCGAAGCGTTGCCCCACTCACCCGCCGGCGCAGGCCACGGCCACGGCCTCAGGCCCTGCCTCTCCGCGGCGTCCCCCCCGCGCCCGCAATCGATCCGCGGGGGCCCCCGGGTGGCCCGAACGAGCGAGGGGCGAGGCCGCCCGGCGCGAGGTCGCCTTCGGCCGCGGGGGCCTCTGGGGCTCCCTGGCGGCGGGGAGGCCGAGGCGAAGCTCGAGCTAGTGGGGCCCTTCGGCCAGGTCGTGCCCCTCCCCCATAGAGAAGAGGGGGGGGGGGCTGGGCGGCCGCCCGACCCTCGCCCTCCGAGGGCCCGCGAGCTCGAGCTCCTCGCGCCGCGCCTCCTTGCGCGGCGCGGGGGCCGCCCCCGGCCCGCTGGGGAGCCGAGGGGGAGGGGGGGGGGAGGGGGAGGGGGAGGGTGTTCCGAGCGCCCCCCGGGCGGCCAGGTGTTCAAGTGCCGGGACCCGAGCGGCAACGTCCGGGCGCTGAAGCAGGCCGCAGGGGGTCAGTGACGCAAAGGTGCCCGGGCGCGAGCCAGGAGGGGAGAAGCGATTCATGTCAGGAGGGAATAGACACACGCAGACACAATGCATCGTCGATTTCCCAGAAGATGTAAGACGGTATGGGAAGCGGGGGGAAAGACTGACATCGAGGAAATTGTGGGACAATTGGGGATCCTGGGATTTTTTGTGTATTTATTTGTGTGCCCCTGGGCCCCTTCATTTCTGCAGCCCTCGCTGCCCCCCCTCCCCCCCCCCAGTTATCGCCCCCACCACGCACCGCCGCCCAAGATGGATGGGGTCCTGAGGGGTGAGGTCCTGACGACATGCCCTCCCTATTCATCGGCCCACCACGCACCGCCGCCCAAGATGGGCGTCCCGAGAGGGGGAGGGGTCCTGAAGACGAGGTGCCGCAGAGAATTCAAGCAGTGGCGAAGCGTCCTGGTTCGCCTATAGCCCTACCAAGCAATGTTCTAAGAACTCCTTGTGGCTCCCACGAAATGTTCTCAGAACGTTTCTGGCCGGGACCGTCTTGATTTTAACACATCGGGCTCATGTTCTAAGAACATCGTTGTTGTTCTTGGAGGATGCTGGGGTTCTAAGAACATGTCGTGGTATATGACTATAGGACTGCCGGGACGGTCGGTCCCTGCTCCAAGAGTGCAAGCCCACCTTTGGACCCTTCCCAGTCGGAGGACCCCGGCCCCTCAGGGCCCCATCCTTTTTTCAGCCTCCGGGGGGGGGGGGGGGGAATCGCGCGCGGCTGCCTCGCCTGAGGCAGAGGCGCGGAGGGAGCGAACGGGCATCGGTGCCACCCCCAACGTGCGAATGCCGATTCCTTCGTATCCCTCCGCGGGAGGAATACACTTAAATATCGGGGGAGCGTAAGACCCGGGTTTGCCAGGACTCGGGTTCGCCATCGTTTTTTGACGACCGCGCCTAGGATTTTGACGAGGAGGAGTTTCGTGGGATGTCTGCAGCGGGAGGCCTCGTCAAAATGCAGGCTCGGCCTCGTCATTTTTTTGACGACCTCGTCGGGGATTTCCGAGTCCCTTGTACCCAGGTCTTACGTCCCCCTGACAGAAAGGAGTGTGGGGATTCTTGTTCTATTTGTTTTGGGCGATGTCGGAGGACATACCCCACCTGATACTGACACTTCAGGTGTGTCGCCTCCCCCCAGGGGCGACGCGCGCATTGGGGAATGTCTCACGGTATTTGCGTCGTGGCGGGCGTTTTTTGGCCAGACCGCTCGGGAAACGATCGACTACAAGATGGGTATGCTATAGGGTCGGGTCGGACGCGCGCCTCCAAGGAGGACATCTAATATTGGTATGTCTCTGTGCGTCCCAGGGGAAGCCCTCCTCTGCTTCCTTCCCCCCCTCGGAAGAGGGCCTGCTGTGATAACGGGAGTTCGGCTTCCGGGACGGGGGAAGGCCTCGGCCCCTCGGTGGGACGCGGCTCGGAAAGCTGGTGCCGCGGGATCAGGGGGGGGGGGCCTGGGGGGCGATTTTGAGTTGCCCATATCTCACCTAGCCCTGCTCCGATCCCCCTCTGTCAGGAGGGGAACGAACAAACACACACACACACACACACGCACACACGCACACACGCACACACGCACACACACACACACAGACGCACAGACGCACAGACGCACGCGCACGCACACACACACAGACACACACACACACACACGCACACGCACACGCACACACACACACACACACACACACACGCGCACACGCACAAACACAAACACACACACACACACAGACGCACAGACGCACAGACGCACCGACGCACGCACACACAGACACACACACACGCACACGCACACACGCACACACGCACACACGCACACACGCACACACACACACACACACGCACGCACGCACGCACGCACACGACGCACGCACGCACGCACGCACGCACACACACAGATGAGCATCGATAGTCCAGAAAATAGGGGAAGATGTCCCTGGGCCCCTTCACGCTTGGACGACGCGGAGTCCAGTTGGTGCAGGTCCAGTGAGAAACAGAGGGGTTACGGTAGGCTCGCGCCGTGTCGACCTGCGGCGACCCCCAGCGCGGGCGTTATCCAGGTTAGACGTCGCCCCTGGCCGAGCATCGGGTAATGTTGTCAGGAGAAAAAGAAACACAGACACAGCTGATCGTCGATTCCCCAGACGAACACCCATAAAATAAGCGAGAATACGGGGAATCCTGTTATTTTTGTCTGTTTATGTGTGTGTGTGTGTGTGTGTGTGTGTCCCAGGGTCCCTTCAAATGTTGAACGATCCCCCGACGTTTCGGAAACGGCCGGTGGTTCAAGGTGGAACGATCCCCGCGGCGTCGGGAACCAACCCCAAGGTCGACACGACACGAACCCGCGGTTGCACGGGGTGGGCCTCCGATTGGACTTGCGTGATGAATTGGGCGTGTCCCTCCACAGGAGGAATATTCAAGAATAGTCCAGAAACAGTCTGGGGACGATTTTTGTTGGACTATGTTTGAGCATTTTTGGGGGTATTTTGTGATTTCTCGCCCACAATCCCAGTGTAGGGGGACACGCCCGACCTGATTCTGGGCGCGGTAGCATGGCCGCGTCCAGCTGGGGCAGGTGCAGCGCCGGAGGCAGGCGCTCGAAAAGCTGGGGCTCCAGCTGGACCTGGCCTCTCGCTCTCCCTTTCTCTCTTCCTCCTCGATGCCTCCCTCGATCCCTCCCTCCTCCCCTCGATCCCTCCCTCCTCCCTCCTCTTCCCCCTCGCTCTTCCCGTCGATCCCTCCCTCCTCCCTCCGCCCCCTCCTTCGCGGAGGCCGAGAGCGCGCGAGAAGCCCCCGAGGGTGCGCGGGAGGGAGGAGTGGGGGGGAGGGAGGGTGGTGCTCTTTCCATCTCCGGGGGAGGGCTCATATTATATACAAATGCATGCATACAGAGACATATAGCAGGCGATCGCAAACATGGATGAAGGGTGCGTGGATTAGCGACGGGTCCCGTTTCCACAGGAACTCGCGACTCCCCGCCGCCGAACGGGGCGGCACCGGCCGCATTCTGGGGAGGGCACCTCCCCCGATCCATGGATGTGGCGACCGCGCGCCAAATCCATGGATCGCTAGTCCATGTTTGCGCGCCACACATATATATATATATATATATATATATATATATGCATTGACGCACACATATGAATACACGGATCCACGCAGGCGCGTGCACGAAGGTGCACATGCAGCCGCGCGCCCGGGCCCGGAGGCCCAGGGCCGGGCCCCCCCCCCGACCGCGACGGCGTGGGGGCCGGGGGGGGCCAGAGGGCCCCCCGATGGGGGCTGCAAAAGGGTCCCAGGAGGAGCCGAAGTCAGGGGCAACGATAGGGGAGGAGGAGGAGGAGGAGGAGGAGGAGGAGGAGGAGGAGGAGAACGAGGAGGAGGAGGACGAGGACGAGGAGGAGGGAGGAGGAGGAGGGAGGAGGGGGAGGGGGAGGGAGGGAGAGGGGGAGGGGGAGGGGAGGGAGGGAGGGAAAGGAGGGGGGGAGGGGATAGGGGGGGGGATAGGCACGGGGGGGGCTGCATCGCAAGCAGTCGAAGCGCCCTGGCTCGCCTAGAGCCCCACCAAACAGTGTTCTAAGAACCCTTTTGTGGTTCCCGCGAAAGTTTGTTAGAACGTTTCTGGCCGGGACTGTCTTGTATCATCACATCGGGTTTATGTTCTAGAAACGTTGTTTTGTTCTTAGAACATTTTTGGGTTCTAAGAACATTTCGTGCTCAAACAGGGGGGGCGGCATCGACACTCAATCGCACATTGATCGCCGATGGGGGTCTGATAGCCCCAGCCAGCCCAGGCAGGCGCGGATTCACCACTGGGGGCCTATCGCCGATCTATCGGCGATGCATCGCCGATTCCAGGTCGATGTGTCCCCCCCCCCCTCCCCACCCCCTCATGCAAGTTCCCCCCTATCGTTGCCCCCCCCACCCCCCACAGAGGAGGTATACTGTCACAAGATGCTCCCAAATGGCCCCGAGCGGCCCATGAGGTGGCCCAGGAGGCCTTACCAGGTTGCCGCGACACGACCTCCGGAGGCACCAACTGTGGACTGGGGCTTTTGCAGTGTTTTGTTATATCGGCTTGCCCATGCTTTCGACGGGCCGAAGACGGCCCGAGAATCGCCGTAAACCACCAAAGCACGTCCCAAAGAAGGCCCTGGAGGGCACCAAGGCGCCCCGAGAGGAGACCAAGGCGGCTCAAGAGGGCCCCCGGACGGCCCCAAGAAGGGCCAAAGAGCGGGAGCACGAAGGAGCACTGCGAGGTTTCCGCCTCAAGGTGTTCCCAGAGCGCCTCGAGAGGCCCAAGAGAGAGGGCCCAAGAAGCCTCCCGAAGTTAACCAGAGGCGACTCGAGCGCAGGACATCTGTATGTATCCAATGTCAATGTGTTCGTTGCACTCGACTTTCCAGATTTTTGGCGCGCCAAGACGGCCCAAGAAGCGCCGTAAACTACCACCGGTCGTCCCAAAGAAGGCCCTGGAGGGCCCCAAGGCGGCCCGACAGGAAACCAAGCTGGCTGACCAGATGATGGAACATTCAACGATCAGTTTTTGTTGCTTTTTCCAGCATCGGCATTGTAATAAGGTGATTCGTAATCTTTCCCTGATGTCTCCTCTCCCTCATTGTCGCCCTAGCGAGCGAATCCGTCCCCATCCTCAGCTCTTTTTGTGGAGGATCATCCTATGAGAGCCTCTTGGAGGCCTCACAAAAGTTTCCAGGGCTTTGGGGGGCCTGATGGAGGCCTCCTGGGTTATTTCTGGGGGCCTCTGGGGGCTTCCCCGGACCACCATGCTTCCAACCGTGGTCTCCCTGAACGATTGGGTCACGATTTTGGAATGATCCTCAGGGCGTCTTGGGGCCATCTTGGGCCGTCATGGGGCTCTTTTCGGGGCTGCTTTGTTACACGAGCAAGCAAGTGTATTGGCGATGGACCCATCCCTATGCAGTCATGCG